CCCCCCCCCCCCCCCCCCCCCCCCCCCCCACTCTCTCTCTCTCTTTCTTGGCCTTTTCACGTAAGTCGCCCTTGACCACAACCGCATGACGCCTTCGAAAGAACAGACAACTCTCACACAAGAAGCACTTTGGTCTAAAGGCGCTGCACCTTGGGACCAAAGGTAGAAGTACATATTTTCGCAAGTTGTCAAAACTCAAAAGAGTGATCGTCTCAAAGGACGCAGGCAACCACTTTTGGACAAGTATGTTCGACTCGAGGCGCAAACATTTTCATCTAGGCGCCACGGTTCAACTTCGACTGGGTTCCCAACTCTGACCACGGAACACACACACTAGGAATCGCGTTCGCGTTTTTTATCCCGCTACCTTCCTAATTATTTCCAAAAGACAAACGTCTTTTCGTTAGACTGACGTCTTTTCGTCGGCAGCCGGATAGCGCGATCGATACTGACAAGAGAAAAGCACACAAATACGCAAAAATACGCACACACACACAACAGCCTAGCCTCCCCCGTGGTCCCCCTCACGGGGTCCCAGATCATGGCTTCTAGCAGCGTTATCCGTTAGGACCCGCACTGAGACTGACATCATTTTCATCGGTCTGCCGGTTAGCGCGCCGATGCTGAAAATTAAAACACCGTTATAAAACCGCACATGAGGATACTCTCTCCACGCGCCACCCAACCATGACCGTGTGTGCCTGCCACCACAGTACACGCCTTTCGCCATCGCATGTGCGCAGCTGCTGCTGCTGCACGTTTGTGACGATAAAAAAAGGGGGCAAAGCGACACACAACAAATGGGTCGCCTACCGAAACACATATCTTGCGGTGAGAGTTGCGTCGTTCGGCCTCAGTCGCATCAACGAAACCAAACCCTAACTATATTACAAAGGGTGTCACGATGCCGTTCAAACAGTCCCCTGCCTTTCGTTACCCCTTGCACCACTTCGCCAACAAACCCAAAGCTGCTTGGATCTGTCTCCACCACCGACACTAGGTTTCGTCGCTAGATCAATCACTTTTCCGGTTCGGCTTGACGCCCCGCTAGCTGTCACGGAACTGAGCCGTCACTGTTGCCGCCGTTGCGGCCGCCGCCGCTATCAAACTAGGCCTCGTGGGCCCCGCGTGCGGCGCCCTGACGAAACAAAAACATATCGCCCTGGCCGTGCCCAGTTCGGCTTCAGACACATCCACACGTCGCCGCAACCACAAAGACGGCAGCCACTGCCGACGCTCTATTCCGCTCTCTTTCCTGCCCCAATCGCTACAGTTACAAATAAACAAACTCTACAGTCGGTACGGGTTGCCGGGCTACACTTGTTACGACTTGCTACCACCCGCATCGCCGCCCTTGAGGTAGCTCTCGGCGTGGAAAGGCGGCGCGCCTTTCAAGCCGAGCCGCCCGCCTTCCAACGCGTCCTCCGAGATGTGCTGCAGCAGCACCTCTCGCTGCTGTTGCTCTGTCCCGGACACTACCACGACTTTCTCGCGGGTGACCTGTTTGGGTGGTTGTGACGAAGCAGGCGGCGGGAAGGAGAGGGAGGGTTCCTTGGTTGGTCACTGCTCTCGCTGATGCCTCGACTGGTACGTAAAGACAAACTCGCCAATGACGAAAAAAGAAGCAAGAGCGTGATAGGCTCAGAATATTTCGAAGAAAAAATCAAGACAAGCGTCGTCGCGTTCTGATGTCCACATTTATGGCCGTTGCGGAAGGTGCATCTCAACATGTCCACGGTACAGCAGTATCCAGGAGATCGCCATGCCTACCGCCCGCCGCGCATGTCTTCACCGCTCTAACAACAGCCACAGCAGTAGAATAGAAATCTCCTTCGCAGGGCACGGCATTCTCGATCGAAGCTCGGGGGACACAAAAAATCCCTCGAAAAACCTACAGCGCGCTACATGTACTGCCACGCTTGTCACGAAACCATGCCTTCTGTGGGTTCCCCCCGTACGTACCGGCGAGAGCAGAAGCGAAATGGCCCGCCACAGGTAGTAGACCATATTGCCCGCGTTCACGATGAACAGGTTGCCCAGTCGTGAAGGGTATCGGAGCATCAGCATCGACACGGCCTCCCTCACGAAGGCGAGGGAAGGTAGCTGCCCATCGCCGCCGGTCGCAGTGCAGTCGATCTGAATAGAGAGAGGCCACACGCACGTGTCACACGCACCGGGCGCAGGGTGTGTGTAGCATTGTTTATCGGTCAGCGTCTTTGAGTACCGGACCGGCGGGCGGACGGGCAATCGTTTCGAAGCTCAAGCGTCTATCCAGCTCGAACGATGAAAGCAAACATTGGTTTCCCGCTGGTAAGGTCACATTTTACACACTGCTGTCAATCCCCGTGTCGACAATTTCCGTTGCGATTTACGAAGGATCGAGGCTTCCCCTGGCAAATTAAGCAGCATTAACATGACTAGTCTACTGCTGTGGTAACTTGCAAAAGCGCGGTCGCCTCGCTGTGTTCTCTTTTGAGAGCAAGCGGCACTACAGGTTTGAGCGAAAAAGGCATCTCTTGTGAGCTTTCCCCCTCGTCTCAAACGCTACAGCAGTATAGGGCAAGCAAGAAACTTACCACAACGCAGAACTGTCCCTTGCTAGCCGGCGTGGACGTTTCCGGCTCCATGCTGGCGATCGCTCGCTCCTGATTCGGGTCTCGTCGAGATGAAAAAAAAAAAACAGGCGGCGTGTTGGCGCTGACACCAGAACTGGACAAAACCCGTGCTCGAATACAACATTTCATTCTGTGATTGGGTGTAGAAGCATAACTTTAAAGAGCACAGCAATGTGGGCCCACCAGAGAGACCACAACACACTGCGACACAGTATCCGATTTGTGGAAAACGCGTGCTGTTGCAATATTGAACTATTAATACATCAATATTGCGAACCAGCAGGAAAGAGGATTTCATCTGAGTGGATTTTTCTGATGGTAGCGATCGGTTGCATGCTTTTGCTTCCGATGTTAATCCTCTTGACCTACGGCAATGGTATGCATGTGGATTCTCCTTGAGCTCGGAAACCCCTTTTGACTAACTGCGTAACTAGGACTGTCAAGTCCATGACGAAGTGCGCCATGACATGACGACTGCGAGCGGGCCACAGAGAAGAGGCAAGACAAAAAAGACTTGGCGGCAACAGAGAGTTCGCGAACGTTTGATGCGCGAAGGATCACGTGACCTGAGTTCACGGAGCCAACTTATAGAAATAGAAATTGTAGGACGCCAGGACGAGCTCGAGAGTTGCAAATAGCACGCGCACGCCCGTAACTGCTGTCTGTGGGCTTGCCCCTCTCTGGCAGGTACATGTTAAAAACTACGTAGAAGAAGATCGACGAAGTGAGGGGAGAGCACGTGTACGTCACCAACAGAAATGTTCGTAACAATTGGTGTTTTTCCGTTCTTTTTGTTCATCTCCGGTACAGCAGTCGTTGTCTTGTCACCATGGAGCTCCGGACATGCCCCGGTAAATCACCGCCGCGGACGCTCCCTATCTATGCTTGACTTGGCGACGGGGGCTGACTAGCGGCGCAATCCCCTGCGTGCAGGCTTCGTGACCCGGCCACCAACGGCAATTTGGTGTTTACTCTTGTCTTGCTTTCTGAGGGCAGTGAGGGATAGTCCACACATGATGCTGCTGCGACGCTGCAAACAACCAATTCAACTCACCACCGTGTAGACCAAGAAGCGAAGGCTGGCTTCTGGGCCGGATGCGCTGTCCTCCCACCCGGCATGCACCCAGATCAGCGGCCGGCCCAACAGAGAAGTGCCTCGGACGAACAGCTTCCCCGAGGAAGCTTCGTCGACGAAAGTGTGAGCTCGATCCAGCACAGTGTCCACACCGCCGTCTTGCCTCCACGCCAATGTATCGAGAAAAAAATCGCTGACTCGCTTCCCTCGGACCGGCTCGAGCCTCCACTGCGCTCCCTCCAGGTAGCGCCAAACAGCGGTCCTCCCGCCGTTGGCTACGGCGGCGTCTGAGCAGAGCGGACTGGCTTGCACTTCTGCGATGGTTGTCTCCAGCATCGATGCCTGCTCGGGTGTAAGGGATGGCGGTGGAGATTCACATTCCCAACTCCACGTCGAAGTAGAGGGCTGCTGTACTGCTGATGCTTCCATTTCTTTCATTCCCATGGCGAGGGAATGGCGACGAGATGTGGGTGAAGGTGTGTCTGGAAGGCGGGCGAAGGAATACTGCGCCGCTCGCTCGCCTCGGCGCCCGGCCGATTTCAACTAGTTTCCACCGATATTTGTCCGCGAGTGCCAAAAAGACCCAACCGCTGTATTTCCTTCTTGTCAGCTGTTAGGCGAGCGAGCTTCGAGCTGATGTGAGCGCGCCCTTCAGTCTTCGCAACCAGAAACCTGGCGACTCTGTTCGTTGTTGGCCAACTCTTGGGAACGTCGACCCTCGCAAGGCGTATAATCGTATGAAACCGTGATGTCCGTGACGCGAATCGCGACGAGGCGCGTGCTGTGTGCGACGCAACTATGCACTTACCAGATCTACCAGATCTACCATAACCGTCCTCACAACCAGAGGCGTTCAGGTTCATTTCTGCGAGAGACTGGTTCAGATGAAAAAAAAAGAAGCCACATGACTCACACCTCTCACCTCACACCTCACGCACCCCCCCAGGCTGTGCGATATTCGAAGCCAGTAACCTCGACCCCGTGGCATACTTCGCCACAAACTCTCGCTGTGGATCCAACATTCTTTCCACCAGTGCCTCATTCCACACAGCTTCACAAGTTTTTTTTTTTAATTTGGGAAGGGTTGGCGGGTCGCCGGCGTGACAGATTTTTTTTCCGCAACAAGCCCCAAATCCAACAGGGAAGTTTCAAAGAGCTGTTCCGAGTCTGCTGGTGACGAGCACCGGATCCACACACCGCCAAAAGGGGAAAAAAAGGATAAGAGACAGGTGACGCAGAGGCCCGAGCCAGAGGACCGAGGAAACCATGGGGCATGGCTCGCGCTGCTGCTCCCCCTTGGTGCTGCTGCTCACGCTCTCGGCGGTAGCACGCGGGTTCCACCTTCGCGTCCCGCTCACTTCTATAGCCCGGATTCGAACTGGCACGTTTGGTTCAACAACGGGCGTGCGGACGCTCTCTGGCCGCCCCGTGGCCTCGGCAAGACGGAGGGTCGGGGGGCCCACCATGGACGCCGGCGAAGAGTTCGACCAATTGGATGGGGTGAGAGCTCGTCGTGGAAGGGTCGGGGAGAGGGGGCGGGGGGGGAGAAAACGGGGTTGGTGTGCTGTCGATCTGTCTGTTCGTTCTTCTTGTGCCTTTTTGTTCAATTTTCAAACAGCAAGCACGCGCCGGTTGAGGTGTTCTTTTCTATTTTCATCACTGCTGTTGGTGTGACACTCCGACGTACTCATTGACTTCCTGCAAAGGACGTGTAGAGGAACAAACCGCTCTGACCTCACTGCACAACACGATTGCTCTGCGAGAGGCAGTGTGTGCAGTCAGTCTCTGGTTTTCAATTTTCAAACAGCAAGCACGCGCCGGTTGAGGAGTTCTTTTCTATTTTCATCACTGCTGTTGGTGTGACACTCCGAAGTACTCACTGACTTCCTGCAAAGGACGTGTAGAGGAACAAACCGCTCTGACCTCACTGCACAACACGATTGCTCTGCGAGAGGCAGTGTGTGCAGTCAGTCTCTGGGTGGAAGTTTTGTCTTTGGCTTCGGTGACGTGGCTCGCTCGAAACGATATAAAGTGCGTCGTGTGTTGTTTGTGACGGTTTTGAGGTTCTGCAATATTGATGTCGTCGGAAAGTTCTCAAAGATGCGTTGGCTTGCGATGGTGGCACGGTCTTGACACCACATGTATCGCTGTTTCGCTGTCCCCGTTTCATAGTGTTGAGCCTCCCCGCCCCCTCCGGTCAAGGATCAATTGCGTCCAGAGACCTTCTTCAATTGAATCCCGCCCGTACCGGCAGCGTTGGTGCGTGGATCGATGTTCGTTTGTTGCAGTGTTCACCCCTCCTTTCCACAAACAGATTCCAGAAAAAATGCTTCTAGTGAAGGCGAACTTCAATTGTAGACAGCATGCGTTGCAGTACTTCTAGCTCGCATAGAATAAAAGGTAGAAATTCAAGCTCGATGTAGTCTGAAATTCCACGTTTTCATCCATTAACTCCCGCGTGTCGACCAAACGTATATTGCTCGCGCGCAGATACCGGGGATGCCGGAAACCATTGACATGGGCCCGATTCTCCGCACCAACGTCACCGAATCCATCGACACCCGCTTCGGCGGCGTCACCTTCAGCCGCAACGGCCAGATCCGTGGTGACGTCCACTCCGTCCTGCCCACCAGGGGGGCCTTCGGCCTCCCCCCGCTGCCCGCCGCGCTGCCGGAGTACTCACTCGAGAGCGAGGCCGCGGCTACCGCGGCAGCAGTCGCCTCCGGCGCCGTCCCCCCCCGGGACCATGCCGCTAGCGTAGCGGAAGAGGTCGCGCAGAAGATCGCCGAGGGCAGCGACCCCGACGTGGGCGGCCTTGCAACCGCCGGGGAACAGCAGCTTATGCCGTCGGGCTTTAGGGCGGCCGCCCTGCAGAGCGTGACCGGGCACGTGGAGATCCGAGAGCGGCGCGCGGCGGAGACGGGCACCGGCACGGGCAAGGCGAGGGCGCCCGCAGGGATCGACCCCACCCGGGTCCCGAACCTCTGGCTGGCCGTGGCCCACTCCTCCGACGTCAAGGCCGGGGAGGTGAAGAAGGTTGAGGTCGACGGGGTGCCGATAGCCCTGTGGCGCACCTCGACAGGAAGCGTGAGCGCGCAGTCGGACGTCTGCATCCACAGAGGGGCGAGCCTGGCCCGCGGGTGGATCGCCAACGACCGCTTGGTCTGCCCTTGTGAGTATCACCATTGGTATCTTGGTCGCGGCAGCAGTTATTTCCTTCGTTTTTTTTTTTGGCGAAAACGCCGTTTTCGGTTGTTGCGGTTTGTGGCTGTGACCCGGGGAGGATCGAGCCCCCGCTTGAAGATATCGGAGCTCGGGCGCTCCGTAGGCAAGTACCGAGCGTATCGTATGCATACATCGATCAATACTCCCTATTTGTTACTCTAGTGTTCGTGAATATGTTATTTTTCGGCTTCTCCGTCCCGAACCTACAGTAATCCAGATACGGAAACCACACTTGCTGAGTCATCTCTCTAAAGTAAACAGGCATACGAAGTATTTTTCTCTCGTAAACGCTTGGCACAAGGTGATGGCGTTCTTCTAGCTCCTCCGACCACCGCGGCCGCCTCCACTACCACTGAGCTACTCGAACCTGCAACCCCTCGCCATTCCGTTCCGCCTCCTTCCCTCCTATTGTTGTAACATACATCCCCCCCCCCCTCCCCATCGAAACGAAACTTTACAATGTCAGACCACGGCTTCGAGTTCGAGAGCAACGGCCGCCTGGCGCACATGCCCGGCGCCGGTCGTCCCAAGGGGAGCGCCGCGGTGGCGAGGGCGGCGGGCAGGCCGGCCACCGCTGACGCCGCCGACAAGGCGAAGGCCTGCGGCGGGCGCAAGGCTCCCACGTACCCGGTCAAGGAGTCCGCGGGCTGGATCTACATCTTCCCGGACGAGACGCGGCCGGGGTCGGTTGAGCAGCACCTCGACCCGGTGGTCATCCCCGAGGCGGTTTCGCCGCAGTTCAGGTGCATCCAGGGGTCCATGGACTTCAAGGGGGGCGTGGACGCGTCCGTGGAGAACATGCTGGACATGCTCCACATCTCGTTCGTGCACAGCTTCGGCAACCAGCAGGACCCGACCCCTTTCGCGGTGTCGTACGAGAGGGGCTTCGACGACCCCGGAACGGAGGCGTTGGCGACCTCGCAGGTCACCTTCCGGTACAGGTCCGGAAGCAAGTCCTTCAGCAAGGTCGTCGGCAAGAGCACGGAGNCCGGGTTCTCACCGGACCAGGCTCTCACATCACCAAGCGCGAAGCGCCGTGAGATATTCGGCGAGTTGCATGAAGGGTGAGCTGCATCCTGCTAAGGGTGTTCGGCGTCTTGTGCTTACTACGAATGACAGCTGCGTATGACTTAATTTATTTTCTGGTGCTTTCACTTCCCGACAGTTGTTAGCACTGTGTAACTGCCTCGAGGGTGCTTGGCCAATTAAACACAACGTGGTGCGATCACCCCCCTTGCGCGGAGTGAGGGTTCTCCACCCCGCACAACATGATCTACTCGACCACCATAATGGTTACCGGCAAAACAAAACAGAGGTAAAAAAATAACCCGGC